TCACCAGTTGATTTCCCCACAATACTTGGGGTGTTCAGCTTAGACGGTGACGTTTAGTACTTTTCAACTTTGTTAACAGGGTTCATTCACCTGCAGAGGTTTTGGGAACCACCGTTGCATTCAGAGATCCTGTGCTGAGAGACAAAATCTCCTGATGTAGTCTATTGCCGTCGACGTTGTGATGGTGCTGAGTTTCAGCATGTCGTCACTGGAGTTAATACATGCTCCATCGATAGAAGCTCTGTGGAAATCCTTTTTCTTGTTTCATTGCGCGTCTTTGTTTGTCTAACCGTTTTAGGACTGTCCTTTTTCAAGTTTGCTGACAACTTATTTCGCAGGCCTGTCAATAGGACAATGATGCTGCTCACCAAACGTCAGCACCTGTGTTGCACATGACACATACCAACCTAAAATCTGACTTACTAAGTCTGTTGTTGGCAGTTACTGTGATATCTGTGCACGCTTCGAGCAATTAACGTTTGCAATTGTCGCACTGCGCGACAGACGTAACAGCAAAACGGCATCCAGGTCTTTTGCATGAATGTTTCATAACTAAAATTACGTAAATTGTGTTATAGATCTTAGCAAGAGCATAAGACCATAAAAAGCAGTACGATAAAAACGGGTAAAAATGGATTAAGATGGATGGTACAAAAGCTTACGATAAACTAAAACTAGCATTGACGTGAAAAACTGAAAAACCGAATATAGGCTTATACAAGAAACGGAAACTCCCTGGACATCTTTGTGCTGAGAATCTCAGTCTGCCGAATTTGGGGAAATTTTTGGTAAATCTCCAAACTCAAATGACCCACACCAAGATTTAAAGAAAATTTTTGGGTTTTGGTTCCATTTCTTCAATTTTGCTATAGCGGCTTCCTCAAATGGGTCAAATTTTCACCAAAGTTGCGAGATCGGGTTGTATTAATAATACTGGATAATGATAATAATAAATAAATGTATATATTACTGAAACTCCATTGAATATATATATATATATATATATATATATATATATACTGTTTGTGTTATTCAAATAAGTTAAAGTTGCTAGGGACGGTGTTGACATATTGACAGCAAGTGGGTGGTTTTACTAAGGGAATTCACTAATAAGGATGGCTAAACATTTAAGGTTCCTAAAATATCACTTGTGGAATGAGATACACTTACAGGTGCTAGACCATTCAATGCATTTTCAGAAGTACAGTATGCATCGATGCAGCGAACAAATAATGGGAGTGATTTTATCGTGCGGCTAAATTGTGGTTGGTTATTCCAGAGTCTAGAAAATTTACAGGTGAAGTAATTCATATAAAGAGATGATTTAGAATGAGTTTGTTTCACTAGTGCCAAGGGATTACGGATGTCACAATGAGAGATTTTTGCATATTGAATCGCGTGATCGGATGTAAACGATAGTTTATGAAGTAGTTTGAAGAAAAAGATGAGATTTAGTTTGAGTCTCCTCCTCCATAAAGGGTCTAGCCCAAGTTTATTACATCTAGAATTATAAGTTAAGGTACAATCAGCTCCAAGAATACGAAGTGTGAATCGTCTCTGTACTGATTCAAGCCTTAATTTATCCTTTATGAGCGCACTGCTAAGAATAAACGTGCAATATTCTAGAAGAGGTCGAGCACAAACTTTGTACATTAGAATACTTGACTCAGTATTGTGAAGATTTTGAGTTATGTAACCTATTAGACGTTGAGACTTAGAGGTCTGTTTCAATTTCTGTTCTGTAAACGACAGGTCTTGGGAATATCTAAGTCCTAAGTCTACTACTGTATGTAACCTAGATAACACTTCACCATTTATGGTAATGTCTAGGAGGTAAATTTTTAAACTTAGCAGTTTAGTTTTGTGGTATATCATGCTTAAATTACTTGTCCTCTTGAAAGTTCAGTACGTTTTCGAATCTATCGGGAAAAGTATCTGCTATTGTTCATCCCTACTTGTAATGTTCTCAACAATCCTCTTAAAAAAATTTGGTGATTTCGATAGGCAAAACAATGTGCGCCTAAAAGTTATGTCTGATCCTATGTCCAGCGATTAAATATTTTTTTCTTCAAAATATATTTTACGTTATAATAATACCAAATGTATGTATATTTAATTATTGTTATTAATCAGAATCTGTGCTCAGTTTACTAAACTATTGATTTTTGAATGTCATCGTGATCAATTTACGTCAAATCAATATTAAATTTCAGTGTGAGTACTTTAAGTTGACAGCAGTTGTGATGGATGGAATGTCAGCGTCCTTATATAGGATGAAATAGAATGTAGCTAACTATCCATAGCTGCCAAATTAGAACCAGTGAACAAACAATGACACAAGAATCCCTCTCATCAACAACTACAACAAGTTAATTCAGTATGCAGAATGGTATCGTAAAAACTACGATCATCAAACAACATCCTCTAATTCGTTTCTTGTAGTCTCACAGTGAAAATAACCTTAGGACTAATTAAATTTTTATTAACCATACAGTATATCAGAGATCTTTATTCATGGAACGATGATACGTCCAATTTATAACAACCTCACTGAAGAATATCCTTCTGATATGCATCTCTATCGTGAAGATAATGTAATCAACAACTTAAGAACACCAGCACTAAATAAGGTGAGGTGTAATGTAACACCACTATCATTGTCATCATCTCCTTCCACGTGAGCACTCAATATACATATTTGGTTCTACCTTGTATATTACGTGCTTCAGCTAACAGTGAGCGTTTCTATTCAGTTTTATCAGTATGTTCGCCCTTCTTCTGCCAACATTCCGAACTGAAATGTCCTTTATTCAGGCAGACAATATGCAATCCTACACATCCTGTGAAATTCAACCTCTGCGTCCTATCAAGACTTTCGATAGTTTTGCACAGTTCCATGTAGTGACCTACCATAATTAGTAAACATCCACTTCCTTGGTTTACACAGTTATCTTTTCCGTTTGTGTGAAATCGTTCGCGTAATGATGGCTCATCTGTTATTGAGGTTGACCTGTGTAATATCGCCACAAAACGACTCAACAGCGGGTCCTACCATTTCCACAATATTCTAAGACTTCGATTCACTACCCCTTTCCTCTATGAAATGAATCAGCTTGACCCACTGTCTTTGAAATCGTGAAGGTGAGTGACTAGACACTACCTCCAACACTGACGTGAAGTTTTGTTCATTCTTCATACTCATAGAAGACAAGATAATTCTACAACCTAGTAAACCGTACAGACATGACTTCATGTTTTCGCATGGGACTGAATGCGCGAAACAATTGTGACACATGTTGACTGAGTATTGGTGATTTCGTTAATACATGTGAACTGAAGTTGCACATTTATGGCAATCAGATTTCACCAACTGGGTTTCGACCAAAATCAGATTTGTTTTCAAACGCAATTCATGTAAAATTATGCTATCACACGTACCATAAATAAACCTGAAGAACAAGATCAAATGAATGTACATGAACAAGACAGATTTTTGCAAATGCCATCAAAAACTGTTATTGTATTTAACAACTGGCACGAAATTGGATGAGGAAACCAACAAACGAACGTCTATCCACGAAAATGATTTTTCAGTGGCCCAATATATAAACAAACAAACACTTTCAGATCAATCCATGCATTCTGAATACATTGTAGTTTCAGTCATTATTTCAAGCCCATATACCTTATATTCTAGCTTTCGGACATCCCATTTTATTCATTCTACTTGAGCCATACTTTGACCTTGTTATTTATTCGTTTATCAGTCTTGAATATTCTTATATGAGCGTATATGTGTGTGCACTTCTTACTCCATTAATCACATGTCTGTAGCTTTATTTTGTCTGACTATAAATATTGAGTAACGCTTGACTAGAAATGGAGTTAGCTTCCCAGCCATCTTCCTGCGTGTCATTATGCTCTACTCTGTTTCATTCGCTTCATATACAAAATGTATGTATTCTCAAGTCAATTCTCGTTATTCGACTTATTTAATTCCGTTATTGACTAACGCGGTTTAAGTCGACGGTTATATACGAGAATAGTCGATAACAAACATTCGTACGATCTTGGAGTCAGATCCACGGGCCACTAAAATGGTGAGCCTTTCAACGAATATCGTCCGATCTAAACGTCGACAAAATCAAACTACGGGCCACTAAAACATTAAGGACAAAAAAACAAAGAGGCAGATTTAATTTACAAGAACGAAGAATTGTAGAGAGCATTACAACGGACAAAATTACCCACTCTTCCTCTTCGTCTGTATGAACTTGCAATAACTATCAAACGCCACGATCAGTATTCGCTGATATAAATGAAAGTCGACAGATTCTGACACTTGTTCAACTTGCCAAAAGTTGATATGTTAGACAGAACATGAACAAGAATGATTAGCGAACCTTCAGAAAGCTGGCAATCACTTCAATTAGTAGTCACTGAACATACTGAAATTAGTGAAATTTATCAAACAGAAGCGTCATTGGGGTGAAATCAGACTCAAAGTGAGGCAATAGAAAGTTAAGGTCAACGACAAAGAAGGAATATCTAGTTTGAAAGCTACTATATGTTACTAATAAGAGAGGAAGCTTTCTTTGTGTACTTATAGTTGAAATTGATTCGTTTAATGGTGTCTAGAGGACAAATGGAAACCATCCATCTGAAATAGTGTCAGACAAACAAAAACAATCACTGAAAAGTAAATTATTTGTGAACGTCATTACATGTGGGTCTTTGTGGAATATGATCGTTGAATGAATCATTTCAGTCAATTTGGTTGGTGGTTATTTTAGGTATAATCGAAATGTGCTTGCATTCTAAACGAATATTTTCTATGCAGAAATTTAGTTCAATCGGGAAACACTTACATAACAGAACATCTATTTTAAACAACAGAATGCTTTAAAATAATTTTCAAAATATTTCATATGAATATATGTGAATTTATTAAAGCATCCAATGAAATAGGATCTACTCATCGAGTCTAATCACTGCCTGATTCAGTTTTTCACTCCACAGTCGAGGACTGAATTAAAGAAGAACTCCGAATTGACGCTCATTATGAAGTATTCACAAAACCATACGAAAATAACGTAGAGTGTAGTAAAATGTTCCTCTTTGCGGTGTCGCTTCAGATAATCTGTTGTGAATATAATCACCTGTAATTATGAAAAGTAGATGATTACTTCATTATCAATGCATTCATATCAACAAATGTATTAGTGAAATATTAGGCATTTAAATACTTAGGGTTACACACTTAGTAATGTCTGAACATTCATACATAACAAATGGACAGTAAGTGCCTTATATTTTTATTTGTCAAATATTAACTGATAATCGTTTGCCTATCGGAGCATCAAACAAACTGAGCCAACCAACAAATCATCGCCACTCTTTCAGCCATTCAGCTTGGCATCTAGTTATGTTTGCTTCGAAATTTTTTGTGATGATTTCTTGTGATTGCTGTGGACAGAGAACACTAATGCTTCAAAGTTCTAATTGCAGCAGAACGATATTATTGGATACATTACAACCGATGGACGGTTATTTGTATTAACATTTAACTATTTGTTCAAAACTTACAATAAACGTTGAGCAGCACCAACAAAGCCAGGCATCACCTTGTAAAACATGCTAGAATAAAGGAAAGAAAACAACTTAATTCAATTTATCATGAACCTATATAATTACCAGTGAGAAAACAGTATTACTCTACTAATTAACTCTACCAATTTTAATATAATATGTAGCTGACTGACTGAATTCATGGAAGAGTTCGGTCAGTCTGTTATCCTGAAATTCGACATCATTCTGTCTCATGATTGACAGTTGTCTAAACAATGATTTAATTTCATCAAAAACATTATCATGAAACATTCCACGAGTGCGAAATCGTTGCTTGAAGGTGTTTTGTTCAGGTTTTTCTGTAATTTCCTGTTATACTCAATCAGTATACATAGAACTGAGAATCAATTTCTCAAATGATAAAATTGTTACATGAAGCTATTTATCAACAATATACAGTGCAAACCCCACAACAGATTGCAGACGTTTACCAATTTCAATTCATGTGTAAAGGAAACTGGATTTATTTTGCAATTTATACGTGATGAAAACATCACGGTAGAAAACGCTGTTGTATTCACGTTCAAAGCAGGTGAACATGAATTGAAAGGCGAAGATTTGTTTGGAATGTTCTTCAATGAAATATAAATTGAAAATTTATTTCTGTTTTGGTGTAGGAAGCGTTTCATCAGTGTTCATGATGGGCATATTTTATTAGGAGAACTGTAGCTATTCGAGAAAACCAATCAATAATAACCAATAATCACTACTAGTTTGTGGAAAACTATGATTAGATTAACTTACGTCTTTAAATATCAACCCTAAAATAAAGAGAATGAATCCAATTCCTGCAGCTACAAGACATATCATGAACAAGATCGTCTTGAATTTCTCTTCTACATCTTCTAGCTTCATACCCATAAAAATGGCTAAGATGGTGAATCCGGTAGCCAAAGGTAGAGAAATAAATATTTCATACACTCGTACACATGAAATTAATAACGCAAAACCAGTACTAATAATTATCATCTGAATAAGGAAAAAAGTAATATCAAATAACCATTAATTCAGAAGTTGAATCGGTCAACAACTGGACAAATAAGGTGAGAATAATCTTCACTCTCCTGCATTCGATTGAAATGGTTAAAAATGATTATATTTATGGATACAAACACATGACAAGGAATCCCTGTATAAGTCTGTCATAATGACAAGTTTAAATTATTTCAAAGCTAATTCGCTCAATCAGTACACACGACCATGTTATGGGAGGTTTATCACCTGAATGGTGTGAGTTATAGTAACTTGGGTATATCAAGAACCACGACAGCTACCTCAGGCACCAAATGATGACATGTATATAACTGAAAACAAGTTCAGTGAGAGACAAAGTGTTTGGATGATTACACATATTAAATTGACAGAAATCCAACTTGTTTAGTTGTTCTGCGTTCACAATTCATTCCATATCTTACAAATGGTAATATCAACAAACGCAGATAAGAGTAGAATGTACCGGTATTACGTGTATCAACGTCTACATATTTCTGAATTATCCATAACATGGACAGATACTTTTTAATGTTATATAATTCTCATCATTTAACCGTTGAGTAATACCTGATACTCCAACCGGATCTCTTGTGATCTGAGTTACATACGTTGACATTTTTATGAAAGCTGTGAAACTATAGAAACTGGATTTCTTAACATAATGACATCTTAAAATTCAACATGGAAACTCATCTGTTCAAGTCACGCTTCAAGGATTCTTTTATCTTGATCACAGTTATCAAACTAACATGACAATATTTACATTATTCAACAAACAAATCAACAATAAATTCAATCGATGGTTGGATGAAAATATCATGAATGCACTAGTAAGCCATATTCAACTGACGGTGATAATCATGAAGATACTGTTGATTGTGGATGAAGAATGTAGTTTCTTAATAAAAATGATTATTAATCCAAGAATTAATGCGATCAATCTGAAATACAAAAGAACAAAATGTACAACATACTAGACTCAAAGATACAATAGACCATAGTGATGTGCATCGGATGTTCTACCTAATCTGTATGCATGAAATGCTTAAACAAGTTCCTCAACGTTTCAGTTTGACATTTTTGAAATAATACGAATCTTGTCAAAATGATGGAAAAATGGATAACATTATAAATGATCCATTGAAAATTTCATTTCATCGCCCCAAATGCCTTGGTACGGCCGAGGTTGCGGAGAAATAGGTCTCTATCTCGAAATTCTCTCACATGGACACGCTTAAACGGCCACTGCCAGACAAGTTTTTACCCACTGCCTTCTTCTGGTGTGGGTATTGTTTGTGAAATCGAGAAAAATAAAGGCCAATTTCCGGCACTTTAACCGCGTTAGTGGAGACGGAGCGTCCACGTGGGTGAGTTGTAAAACCATCATTCCAAGCTGATGGTGCACATGGGCTCCAGGATCCTGAGGGACTGAATGGCGTATGAACCCATTATTGGTCACCGGCTGACATGAGGCTGCATCTGCTAATGCTGCTGAATCGCCCTGCTGGTCAGACATTTAGGTTGAGGGCTCCGAGTGTAGGTCCCTATGGAAACCACCTGTTTCGGTCTGGTCACCCGGGCAGTATAACAGCTCACACACAAATGAAGTGGCTTGTGTGTCATATATGTATTCGCTGAACCTCTTCTACCAAAATTTGTTATTTGAAATAAATAAATAAATACATTTCAGTATGATCATTTATTGCGATGTGATGTAACACAAAATGAGAATGATTTGTGCTGGGAAAGAAACGAACTAGTTTGCTCTTCCTCATCATAATATTCTCGTCAAACATGGGTCAAATTACTTATACCAGTGTATTAATCGATCCATTGAATGATACATAATAGTAATACACGAAAAATTGTCGTTATGATTCTCGGAGAATACGTATATTTCAAGATATATTACTTACGTTAATATGAGACCACTGAGAACAACTGGATCTTCAACATTTTGGAAGCTGAATCTGTCAAATTGAATGAAAAATGTCTTACATGCAATGAGATTTATTCTGACTGGTTTCATTTGACACGTCATCAAATTCGAATGTCGTCATCGCTTGACTATCTGCAATGGAGATTTGTGAACAATTCACCTTCCACAATCAGTAATTCCAACTTTAACTGAAATAAGTAAGAATTCAAAATACAGTAATGGATATATTCAATATCACGGATTACATAAAACCTCAAATGTCTATTCGCGTGCCTATTCCTTTCTTTTTCATTGTATTTCAACAAGTATGGATTCATGGACAGAATTTGAATTTCATCTGACTAGTTAGGCGTATCGCCTTTACGAGAATAATAACAAAGATTGCAAGCCGCTGAGAATAGATCTCATTAGATTCACGTTAGCTGCCCATGGCATGCGATGGTTTAAAGTCGTCATCGTTACCGTACTCACTTCATTGAATATAATTAACACTGACAAACCTAATCATCCCCATAAATAATGCTCAATGGAAGTATGCTTTTTCTCCATTATTCTCTCCTGTGATTTTCAGAAAAGATTTTGTCGTATTGTAAAGTGTGCTGAAGGCAGTGAGTAGAATTTGTGGTGAGTCTCTCGAGATTCTTACAGACATGGTTGTTGATAGACACTGAAAATCTTGAAAACTGCTGACAAGTGATTTCCTTCCAAATATTTTCCATCCAATTCATTAATTTCTTTCACCTTCAATGAGACTCTCGTGTTTGGAAAAGAAACTAGTTGGAATCATCTGTGCTGAGTGTCTTATATTGTCGTTAGCCTATTACATCGAACGAAACTGTTGTTATTGATCCTTATAAAACGACTTATCAGCAGATCAAAACTCATCCTTAATTCACACCATTCGACAGAAATTGACAAACTCACATGAAATGATTTTGATGTTCAGTAAAATGGACTCAATAAAATTAAACAAATTTATAACGAAATTCACCAATTACTTTGAATCAAATTTATTGATTTATGAGTGGTTATTCTTTCTTCGAACTTTGGTTAATATAACTTTATACAAGACAACGGGATAAGTGATTTAGTTAATAATAAAAAAACTGATTTAACTCTTAGTTCATTGTGAACGAATACGTGATAGTACCTCGAAATTAGAATGATCATGTTGCTCCGATGAGCTTAATGACTAAATATAGTCTCTACAGTGTATTGATGCCAAAAGAAACAAACGTTGTTAACTTGTTCATTCCGTTGACTATATACACATATCATGTTTCATGTGATAGATATTTGGATAAGGATAAGTGCTTTAAAAATCAATCAACAAATAGAAAACTATTTCCCACCCAATGATCAATGACAAATTTATAAACCATTTTACAGTTTTGTTAACTGAATCATCAAGGATGATTCCTATGAAGAATATAATGTTCAAGGACATGAATGTCGATCAAAACCATTCTGTTAAAATATAAAATTATACATTTTTAGGTTTATGGTTATTTGTGTTCAGGGTCTATCAATTTCAATGAAACATATCAATCTCATCATCTACACTATAAAGCTACATAATAATAATACAATATATTTCAACTTGCATGACTTGTCATATTTCCATCCACGAACACTCCATGATTTGACAATACTACACATATACTGTTGTTATTTCAAAAGATGAAGTGACTAGATGAAATAATGAATTCCTCATTAACCCGCCAACATCAGTTGTAGAAAACACACCAGTCCGAACACCGAATAATTTATATTTGATACGATGATTAACTCCTGAGTCAGTTAGTCAACTACAATGTACGAGCAGGCACATAATGCATCGGTCCAAGTTACCATACCTCATTAGCACAAGAAGCTGGACAACGGATTCATAGAAGTAGTTAATTCAATGGTCGTAATATATAAGGGAAAGATAGCATTTAAGGATACAGTACAGAGAGGAATAATTAGTTCGTAGAAAGAAAAGTATAAAGTCACTTTAATCCCATGGTTTAAAGGAAGACACAGAGTGTATACACCGACGCCAGTGTGATCAATTCTGAGCTATGTCACCAAGAGTCTCCAACCATTAGTTACGATAGTCGCGCGAACCCCAACCAAGTAGTCTCCATCTGTCAACATCGCCAAAATTAGGAGTTAATGTCTTCAAGCACTGATGTCACGTTTTGGATTTGCCACTCCTAACCTTCTTCCAAACATCCCCAACACCGGTTAGCATTGCACGTCGTGGTAACTAGTGTTCAGGCATACGTGACACGTGGCTTAATCATCTCAGTGGATAAAGACTTACAACCTCATCGACTGATTCACCACAATTCCCTAATATCATGCGTCTGACCTCACCATTAATTACCTGATGATCTCAGCGCATGAGAGCTATATTCTTAAGATATCAGTAGTCGAATACTAGTAGCTTACGAATATCTTCTATTAATGTCTACGTTTCGCAACCGCAAAGTAGAACAGAACAAACCGCCTCGCAGTATACTCGTCCTTTAATTGATAGAAAAATATCTCGCATTCGTCATAGGTGACGTAAGTTGGCAAAAGCTCAACGACCAGTCTAAATCCATGCAGAGATTTCGTCAGACACTAACCCATTAGGGCTGATCAGAATCTCAAATTAAGGGAATCTGTCAGAGCGTTCGACTACTTCACTCCCTATCCTTAGTCCAGGTGTTTGACGCAGGCCAGTCCTGAAGCAAGAATTTGCATTTAGAATGGAAGAAACGAATCTCAAACATCCTAGCATTGTTTTTTCAGTGTGAACGAAAGACTGCGTTCAATCAGCGTCTTCACCAATGAGGATTATATCATCTGCCTATTCTAAATCAATAAGTGAGGTCCGTGGTAGGGGATCAATACCCAAAACTTAGTAGACGAGAATGTTATATCCAGTAGTAGGTCTGTGATGAAGCTGAACAAAAATTGACATCTCCTTATATATTGGAATAATCAGTGATTTTGACCAGATGGGATTACGTCCAACTCTCAGATTTTAGCTAAAATATTAGTCAACCTAATCGCGAAGACTGGATGACCATCCTTGAAGACCTTTGGAGTTAGTCCATCTGGACCACCTGCTTTCCCTCACTTCATATTAGCTATAGCTTCTGAACTTCAGTCAGAGTCGGCGGACCTACTTCAATGTTCCATTCAGGCTTTCTGGGAATGGTGGGTAGTTGTAGAGTAGCTTATGGCCAGCTGGACTGCTCCTTAAAGTGTTCCGTCCATCGTTCTCAACGTCTGAGAAAGTAACAGTGTCATCTTTTTCTGAGATCGTCTCACCAACATTTGACCTCTTAATTCCAGTTTCTTTTATTAGTCTGAAAACTTGTCTGGTGTTTCCTACAGCCACTGCCTTCTCCATCTTTTTTATTTCGTTGCCCACCACTGATCACGGTCGTTCCTTAGGCTTCTGAGTAACCTAGATCCCGTTTTCTTTCGTTCTTCATCTTGTTCTGAGACTGATGGGAGGCGTTTACGAGAATCTATCAGTGCAATAAACTTAGTAGAAATCCATTGGTTTTTCGTTACCCTTTGGTTTAAACCACTGATGGACGTCACTGTTGTTCGTATATCTTTCCATGCAACATCTTGGTGAGTCTCGTTTGCAGAACTACATGAGTGTAACCTCAGTTGTTCCTGGAATCTTCTTTTGACATTTTCGTCACCGAGTTCATTTCTAATAGGTATTCTTAGTGTGGTTCTTCTGCAACCAGTGAGACACAAGCAAATGCGTGGTCGTATTACAGCATGATGTGAGTCCAAACTGGTATTCCAGAATGAGTGACAGTCTTCTATCGGGCCTCTCCAACGAACACTGATGACAATATGGTCTATTTGAGTCCATCGTTGGTTTGATGTAGTGGGTCGCCATGTTGGGTGATGTCTCTTCTTATGCTTAAAATTAGTGTTTTCTAAAAGTAAGCGATTGTCTGGGCACAATGCAGCAGGAGACTACCATTATCTCTCAACTGAGCCAGGAATTAACGCCTAAATTCTGTATGTGGCTATTATTTACATTCAGTCTACCACGTACGTGCGGTATTTTTCAACTCACATACACTTTTATTCCTTTGCATTATTCAAGACCACCATTTCACACACATAATCTAGCAGACTGTTGGACCGTTTTGTTTACTATCACTTATCAAATTGTGCCATATTCCTCTCTGACATTACCAGAAGAGATTACATCGGAATATAATAGTTACAAATGGAAGAATAATTATACGTGTTGTTTCTCTCATTTACATGATATGAGACTGGATGTCACGTCACGACAAAACTCATAACATCCAAGCATATTAAGTCGGTCTATCACTGTGCATGCACATTCAAAATCTACAGTTTGATTCCACTGTCAAACTTCATTTCATGATAAACACACACACCAGCTTTCCTAAACATTGAAACATACCATTGGAATATCCAAAACATGATGTGGTAGATGTTCTAAACAGCTCAGCAAAATATGTTCGACTGACAGTAATCATGTCATTTAAGATTTCCTCCAGCAAATTTTAATTCTGCGTCAAGAATTCACTTTGATGAGCATGTCAAACGGAACGCTCTATGCTGAACTGTTTTAAATCGCATATATTAACATTGAAGGGGATATTCCCCTAGTGACTTTCAGTGCTTCTGAATATTTAATAATTTATTCAAAGTATAATTAGTTAGTTGGGTTGTAGATGCACTTTCACTGTATTTGATTCTTCAGTAAGATGTCTTCAACTATCAACTATTCATTTTGATCAGTTCATGGATCGGTGTTTTTAATGAATATTAAAGCGCATACGTGCGTAATTATTGGTGTTCCGTACTTACTAGTCCAGTAATGAATCATGTTTTTCAATGAACGCCAGCATAAACAATTTCACACAAAATAGATTGATACGAATGTCCAATGAACAGCCATTACATTGTATGAAAACTAGTTACGACTATTGACTAACTATTTACACAGTGGTTTGATTAGTGATCCATTACAATCATGATCGCCATCTGGAAAATGATGTATCAGTTCAGTGCATTGGATCATCAGATTATGATAACACTCAGCCATATGTCTAAACATCAAGAAACAATGATAAAACAAAACATTGAAACCTCTTATAACTATAAGCATCTATCATGTTCGCATATTTACAACCTTTATAAATGGTAATAAAATTCGTTAACTGTGTTCACAGATTCAAAACACAAAGTCCGTAAACAACATAAAATATCAATATGAATTTCAGATGGAATAGAAGTTGACATTGAAATGTTACTTGATTTATTAGTGATCAAACACTTGAAACTTTGTCGAAACCGAAAAATAAAACGAAAAATAGAGATATTGTGGACTTCGTTGCGTATTTTTCTTCGGTGAGATCAAAGACTTCGGTGAAGGTGAGACATGAATTGATTAGAATACTATGATCATCCATTCTTCACTGTACTTTAGTTTGGAATAGGAAGCAAAGTAATTTTACACTTGTAATACGGATTTCAAATGAAACCCTCTAACTATTCAATACTGCTTGGAAAGTTTCATATGTTCGTCCCAAAATTAAGACAGGACCTGAAGAAATTTTAAACATTGCCGGCCCGTAAAAATAACCTCGGTGGTATACAGAGAGATGAAAAAAGTAGTTGAGGCAGCAGTAGTTCAACATCCACTTACTAATAATCTCATCTCAACCTATCACCATGGGGTTCTTAGGTCCAGATCATACGATACATATCCAGTAGATAACCTGAGTGATATAACTCTAAAATGGAACAATGGATTCCTTGTATCAGTCCTATTCTTAGACTTTAAGAAAGCATTTGATAGGGTCCTACACACAAATCTCGTCAAAATAAATCCTTCGGAATCAATAACCCACTCTATTCATGGTTTGCTTCGTTCTTAACAGAACGTAATTAAATGGTAGGCCAGAACGACTTTCTTTCATCATCTAGACCAACCGTTGGTTTGGAAACAGCGCATATACACTGTTTACATTAAAACACTGGATACCAATGCGTTGTAAGTATTTGACGGTGCGATGTGTTTTATTATAGAATGGGTTGCCAACACCTATCCGTAACTGTAACACTATCATCAAGTTTAAAAGACCAATAAAGAGCCTCACGCATTACTCCCTGGACTTCCGCACACCAATGAGTCACACTATGATGGACCGACTAATATCTAGACAGATCATGAAGACGACGGGCTCTCATTGTCAATGATATGAAAGCAAACGAATGATAGAAAACATGGTTTGTCTCCTCAACTATTCATTGATTATTAGTCATGCCCTTATGCTGCAGCTTCGCACTTCCAAATTCCGAACCTCTCTAGTGGTTTAAGTTGGAGTGTTCTCCTTAAGTGTCGTGTGCATTTTGTTCTACTACAAGTAGACAGATAACTCACTCGTCTCATGAATGCTGATCAGCTAGGGCCGATAATAGGAGGCCTGCTAAAGCATCTGGGCTACCTGTTCCTGCCATCCAGATATTTCAACAAGTTATCTTTTTTTATTTGTTTTAATATTTCAATATGTTTATTAATCACATGATGTATTCTGCTGTGTTTCTGAAAAGTGTACAACCTTTCGTTGTCAAGGTTACAAAAAACTCAATAAGAGCCAATGTGTTATCTGGCAATATACAGCGAAAAGAATGCACATTATTCAGATGTTCATTTACTGAACTGCTGACATCTAACTGGCGATCACTCAATATTTATCGCCAGAACCGACCAAGAAGAAAAAAATGGAAACTTGTTGAAATACTTTACGCTGAGAATTCTATATTGTACCAAAAATATAATATTGAATAAAGCTGATAATAATAATAATAATTGTCCTTAATTCTTGTAAGTTTCTCAACGTTTTGTTTTCTTATTCTGAAGATCTTATGATTCTTAGCACTTGCTTTCATTTGGGCTTGCTATCTATCCTTAACATCTCTAATCCACACACAATCTGAACAGTTTCTTATTACTTATACTATTAGTTATCTTCATAGCAGTATGACATACTAAATAGATATCTAACCCACAATACAGAAGCTTTGACTCTCTGATGTCCTTGTGACATGAAATTAATAGAGACAGTGTATTTCAACATGGAGATAGATTAAAATGATATTCATGAATGCCGCAAACGTAAGAGAGCCTAACATCACGAAAGGAGGGAGGGTGGCGTTACTGTTCAGCAAACATGATGGTGTGGAGAAAACTTCGATTCACCCATGTCTGAAGTGCAGAACATTTGACGGTGCATGTGGTAGATGGAATGTCAGCGTCTTAATAGAGAGTGAAATACAATGTAGTTAACTATCCATAGCTGCCAAATTAGAACCAGTGAACAAACAAAAACACAAGAATCCCTCTCATCAGCAATTACAACAAGTTAATTCAGTAGGCAGAACGGACTCGTAATAACTACGATCATCAAACAACATCCTCTAATTCGTTTCTTGTAGTCTCACAGTGAAAACAACCTTAGGACTAATTAAATTTTTATTAACCATACAGTATATCAGAGATCTTTATTCATGGAACGATGATACGTCCAATTTATAACAACCTCACTGAAGAATATCCTTCTGATATGCATCTCTATCGTGAAGATAATGTAATCAACAACTTAAGAACACCAGCACTAAATAAGGTGAGGTGTAATGTAACACCACTATCGTTGTCATCATCTCCTTCCACGTTGAGCACTCGATCTACTTATTTGGTTCTACCTTGTATATTACGTGCTTCAGCTAACAGTGAGCGTTTCTATTCAGTTTTATCAGTATGTTTGCACTTTTTTGCCGACACTCCCAACTGAAATGTCCTTCACTCAGGCAGACAATACACAATCTCACACATCCTGTGAAATTCAGTCTCTGCGTTTTATCAAGACTTTCGATAGTTTTGCGCAGTTTGCATTGGAGTGAATGTGTGAGACAATTGTGACACATGTTGACTGAGTATAAACGATTTTTGTTAATACACGTGATCTGAAGCTGTACATGAAGAACACAGATTTTCGCAAATGTCATCAACAACTTTTATTGTACTTGATAACTGGCACAAAATTGAATGAGGAAACCAACAAACGAACGTCTATCCACCAAACTGAGTTTCCAGTAGCTCAGTATATAAACGAACAAACTCTTTCAGATCAATCCACGCAATTCAAATACGTTTAGGACGAAAAACGAAGAGGCAGATTTAATTTACAACAATAAACTGCACAACTGTAGGGAGCATCACAACAGACAAAACTATCCATTCTTCCTCTTTGTCTATATGAAATTCAAATAACTATCAAGTGCCACGATCAGTATTCGCTGATATCGATGGAATTCTACAGAATTTGACAATTGTTCGACTTGTTAAAGTTGATATACTAGGCAGAACAAAAAAATCAATGATTAGTAGATTTGTAGAAAGCTGGCAATGAGGTCATTTAGCAGTCACTGATCACACTGAAATTAGCACAATTTATGAAACAGAAGCGTCATGGGGGTGAGGTCAAACTAAAAGGGGCGACAATAGAATGTTACGGTCAACGACAAACAATGAATGTCGAGTTCGAAAGATGTCATATGCTAGTAATAAGCGAATAAATTTTCTTCGCCTACTCATAGCGGAAATTGAATCGTTTACTGGTGTCTAGATGACGAATGAAAACCGTTCACATGAAACAGTTTCAGACAAAAAAACCAATCACTGAAAAGTAAGTCATTCGTCATAGTCACGACACATGTGTAGTTGGAAAATACGGTTGTTGAACAAATCATTTCAGTCCATTTGGTTTGTTTTAATTTCAAGTGCTTAGATGTTTGTTTGCATTTTAAACGAATATGTTCAATGCAGACATTTACACCAACAAGCGAACATCTATTTAACAGAACATCTAATGTAGATAGCAGAATAGTTTATAATCATCTCTAAAATATTTCACATGAATATCTGTAAATTAATAATAACATTCAATGGAATAGCATCCCTTCATCGTGTCTAATCATTGCCTCATTCACTTTTCCCACTTTTCCAATCACAATGAAGGAGTGTATTTAAAAAAAACTCCGAATTGATGCTAAGCACGAAATATTCATAAAACCACACGAAAATAATATAGAATTCAGAATACTGTTCTCGTTCACGGTGTCCTTTTAGATAATCTATTGTGAATATAATCACCTGTAATAAGGGAAATGTAGATGATTACTTCATTATCAATGCATGCATATCAGTATATGTATAAGTGAAATAAAAGACATTTAGAGATATAGGGTCATGAATTTAGTAATTTCTAAACATTCATACATAACAAATAAACAGTAAGTGTCTTGTATTTTGATCTGTCAAATAGTGACAGATGATCGTTTGTATAACAGAGCATCATACAAATTGAGCGATTCAACTTGAGAAATAAATTGAACGATATGTACTTCATCAATCAGTTTCTCCCTTACAAACATTGAGCTTTGCATTTCGCAATGTTCCCTTTGAAATGTTTCATGACGAATTCTTGTGAATGCTGTGAATAGAATGCAATAATGCTTCAAAGTTCTGAGTTCTACAGAACGATATCTTCGAATGCATTATAACCGATGGACGGTTATTTGCAGCAACATTTAATTATTTATTCAGAACTTACAATAAACGTTGAGCAGCACCAACAAAGCCAGGCATCACCTTGTAACACATGCTAGAATAAAGGAAAGAAAACATTCACCTCAATTCATCATGTATCTATATCAATATCAGTGAAGAAACAGTGTTACTCTACTAATTAACTCTACCAATTTTAATATAATATTTAGCTGACTGACTGAATTCATGGAAGAGTTCGGTCAGTCTGTTATCCTGAAATTCGACATCATTCTGTCTCATGATTGACAGTTGTCTAAACAATGATTTAATTTCATCAAAAACATTATCATGAAACATTCCACGAGTGCGAAATCGTTGCTTGAAGGTGTTTTGTTCAGGTTTTTCTGTAATTTCCTGTTATACTCAATCAGTATACATAGAACTGAGAATCAATTTCTCAAATGATAAAATTGTTACATGAAGCTATTTATCAACAATATACAGTGCAAACCCCACAACAGATTGCAGACGTTTACCAATTTCAATTCATGTGTAAAGGAAACTGGATTTATTTTGCAATTTATACGTGATGAAAACATCACGGTAGAAAACGCTGTTGTATTCACGTTCAAAGCAGGTGAACATGAATTGAAAGGCGAAGATTTGTTTGGAATGTTCTTCAATGAAATATAAATTGAAAATTTATTTCTGTTTTGGTGTAGGAAGCGTTTCATCAGTGTTCATGATGGGCATATTTTATTAGGAGAACTGTAGCTATTCGAGAAAACCAATCAATAATAACCAATAATCACTACTAGTTTGTGGAAAACTATGATTAGATTAACTTACGTCTTTAAATATCAACCCTAAAATAAAGAGAATGAATCCAATTCCTGCAGCTACAAGACATATCATGAACAAGATCGTCTTGAATTTCTCTTCTACATCTTCTAGCTTCATACCCATAAAAATGGCTAAGATGGTGAATCCGGTAGCCAAAGGTAGAGAAATAAATATTTCATACACTCGTACACATGAAATTAATAACGCAAAACCAGTACTAATAATTATCATCTGAATAAGGAAAAAAGTAATATCAAATAACCATTAATTCAGAAGTTGAATCGGTCAACAACTGGACAAATAAGGTGAGAATAATCTTCACTCTCCTGCATTCGATTGAAATGCTTAAAAATGAATATTTGTGGATACAAGCACATAACAAGGAATCTTTATCCTAGTCTATCTAAAAGAAAACATGAAGACGTTTCAAAGCCGATTCGCCCATGCACAACACATGACCACGTAATGTGAGATTTATCACTTAAAACGTGTGAATTATACCAACTTGGGTAAACCAACAACTAGGACAGCTAGTAATGTCTGTGACTTGAAGCATTAAATGTTGACTTGTGTATCACAGAACACAAGTTCAGTGATAGACAAACTGTGTGGATGACTACATTAATTAAAATGAAAGAAATCCAATTTATTTAGTTGTTCTGTGTTTGCAACCCATTCCATATCTTGCAAATGGTTATAATAACATACGTCGATGAGAGTAGAATGTACCGGTATTATGAGTAACCATGTCTATTTATTTCCCAATTGTCCATAACATGAACAGACAGATACTTTTTAATGTTATATTATTTTCGCCAGTTATCAGTTAAGTAATAGCTCATGATCCGACCGGATCATCAATATACCTCAAAACTGTTATGAAATCAGTGAAACTATAGAAACTGGATCTCTTAGTATAATGACATCTTAAAATACAACATTGAAAATCATCTGTTCAAGTCAACCTTCAAGGATTCTTTTATCTCAGTCACCGTTATCAAACTAACACGACAACATTTTAACTATTCAACAAACAAATTAACTAAGTAAATTCAATCGATGATTGGATGAAAATACCATGAATGTAATTTAATTATCATAATCAACTGACCGTTATCACGATGAAGATACTGTTCATTGTGGATGTAGAGTGTAGCCTTCTAATGAATATTATTATTAATCCAAGCACTAATCCGATAACTCTGAAAAAACAAAAGAAATAAATGTACAACATACTGAAATCACAGATACAATAAACCATAGTAATGTGCATCAAATGTTCTACACAATCTGTCTGCATGACATGGTTGAACAAATTCCTCAAATCCTTATTTCGACATTTTGGAAAGTGTATGAAACTTTTCGAGATAATCGATGAGTGGATTACCTGATGAGTGATTGCCTTGAATATTTCATTTCATCTCCCTAAATGCCCTGGTATGATCGAGGCTGGGGGAAATTATCTCTCCCTCTCAAAATGCCCACACATGGACATGCTTATACAGCCACTGCCAGAGAAGGTTTACTTATTCCCTTTTTTGTGGTAGAAGTGTTATTCAGGAAGTCGAGAGGACGAAAAGCCAATGTCCGGGTTAGTGCACACGGAGCGTCCACCGAGGGGAGTTGGAAACCATGATTCCAAACTAATGGTGCACATGGGCTCCATGATCCTAAGGGAACAAATGGAGTATGAACCCATTGTTGGCCACCGGCTAACATGAGGCTGCATCTGCTAACGCTGCTTAATTGCCCTGTGGGTCAGACGTTAAGGTTGACGGCTCCGGTTGTAGTTTCCTAAGAACACCATCTGTTTCGATCTGGACACCCGGGCAACATCAGAATTCATATAAATCGAGTGACTTGTGTGGCGCATAGGTATTCGGTTCCCTTTTGCCAACGGTCATGTGTTGAAATAATAAAACAATTTCAGTATGATCATTTATTGTGATGTGATGTAACACAAAATGAGAATGATTTGTGCTGGGAAAGAAATGAACTAGTTTCCTCTTCCTCATCATAATATTTTCGTCAAACATGGGTCAAATTACTTATACCAGTGTATTAATCAGTTCATTGAATAATACGTAATAGTAATACGTGGAAAATTGTTATGAATTCGGGGAATACCTGTATTTTAAACATACATTACTTACATTAAGATAAAACCACTGAGAACAACTGGATCTCCAAACTTTTGAAAGCTGAATGTGTCAACTGGAATGACAAATGTCTTACATGCAACAAGATTTATTTTGACTGGTTTCATTTGACACGTCATCAAATTCGAATGCCGTCATCGCTTGACTATCTGCAATGGAGATTTGTGAACAATTCACCTTCCACAATCACCAATTCCAAGTTTAACTGAAATAAGTAAGAAATCCAAATACAGTAATGGAAATCTTCATATTCATGGATTACATAAAACCTTAAATATCTATTCGCGTGCCTATTTCTTTCCCTATTCATTGTATTTCAACAAGTGTGGATTGATGAACAGAATTTGAATTTCCTCTGACTTCTAAGCCGTATCATTTTTACTAGATTTCTTAACAAAGATCCGATGAAAATTGATCTCATCGGATTCATGTTAGCGGCTAACTGCATAAGATGACTTCAGGTCATTAACGTTATTGCATTCAGTTCAGTGAAGATAATTAACATTGATCAATTTATTCATCCCAATGAATAACACTGAATGAAATTATGTTTATCCTTACGTTAAGCTATTTCTTTCATTATTATATATTTGTCGTTGTTTGGGCGCAGTTGAAAAATGAATGTCATACAATCAAAGCATAATGGGCCTTCAATCTTCTATGAAAAACACTTTGTTAAGTATTCTGATGATTCCATTGTGTGCATTAGGAATGAGGATTTCTGTCTTCTTATATTCCTTCAAAATGAATGATTTTTTGTATTTTAGTGGACGATGATCTGTTTTTAATGATTTCTTACATAATCCTAACAAACATCAAATTGGCCTGAAACACAAATTGCACTCAAATACCCAATTGTAATACCATGGAGTTTTTACCATTGGAGATTCCGTAAAGACAATAATGTCAAACGTTACTTATAGTGGTGTAAGATTCTCCCTTAATTTTCCTTCAACTTCTTCTGTAGTATTGATGTCATGAAAAGTTTTACATCCGGATTTTTACATACAGAAGCTACATGCTTATCTCGTCGCTCGACATTTACATTGACGATTGGTTGATTCTTGCATATTACCTACTGTTCATCACTGTTCTCCGTTATTCTTACCGAAGATTTTCAGGAGAGATTCTGTAGTATTGTGGAGAGTGCTGAAGGAAATGAGTAAGGTGTGTGGTCAATCTTTCGAGATCATTACAAACACGGTTGGTGATAGACATTGCAAATTTTGTAAACTGCCGACAAGTGATTTCCTTCCAAATATTTACCATCCACTTCATTCATATCTTTCACTTTCTACATACTCTAGTAGAAAGAGGCATTGATACTTGAGAATCTATGGGAATCTCTCGTGTTTGTAAAAGAAACTAGCTGGAATTATTTTGTGCTTGGAGTTCTGTATTGTTGTTAGCCTATAACATCGAACGAAATCATTGTTATTACTACTTACAATAACTCATGCTTAATTCCTACCATTCGATAGAATTTAACAAACTCACATGGAATGATTCTGATGTTCACAGTAAAAGTTATTCAATAAAATTAAACGAATTTATAATGAAATTCACCAATTACTTTGAATCCACTTCAATAACTTATGAGTGGTCACTTGTTTCATTGAACTTTGGTTAAGTTAATTTTGTACAGAACAATGAAATAAGTGATTCGATTAGAAATGAAACAAACTGTTTTAACTCTTAGTTCATCTTGAACGAATACGTGATAACACATCGAAATGAAAAAGATGAATGATCGTGTTGCTCCAATAAGCTCAGTGGATAAATGAAGTCTCTACAGAGTATTGGTGTCAGACGAAACACACAATGCTGACTTGTTTATTCCGTTGACTGCATAAACATAACACGTTTCATGTGTTAGGTATTTGTTTGGGGAGGACGTCTTTAAAAATCAACCAAGAAATATTGAACTATTTCTCACTTCATGATTAATGACAAATTTATATGCCGTTAAAAAGTTTTGTGAACCGAATCGTCGAGAATGATTCCTATGGAAAATAGAATGTTGAGTGAGTTGTTAAACGTCAATCAAAACCATCCTGTCAAAATATGAAATTATACATCTTTAGGTTTATGGTCACAGGTGTTCAGGGTCTATCAACCTCAATCAATCATATTAATCTCATCATCCCCTCTGTAAAGCTTCATATTGATACAATATATTTTAACTCGCATGACTTGTCGTGTTCTCATAAACGAACAGTGAATGATTTGACAACAGTATACAGATATTGTCGTTATTTCAAAAGAGGAAGTGACTGAATGAAATAAAGATGTATTCATCAACTATGAACATCAGTTGTTCGAAACACACTAGTTCAAACACCTTCTAATGCATATTTGATACGATGATGCATGTAACTATTATTTACGTTCAGTCTACCACGTAAGTGCGGTATATTTCAATTCACATACTCTTTTATTCTTTTGCATTATTCAAAACCACCATTTCACACACATAATCTAGCAGACTGTTGGATCGTTTTGTTTGCTATTACTTATCATAATGTTCCAATTTCCTCTTTGATATTACCAGAATTGATTACATCGGAACATAATAGTTACAAATGGAAGGATAATTATACGTGTTGTTTCTCTCATTTACATGATATGAGACTGGATGTCACGTCACGACAAAACTCATAACATCCAAGCATATTAAGTCGGTCTGTAATTGTTCATGCACATTCACAATCTACAGTTCGATTCCACTGTTAACCTACACTTCATCATACACATACATCAAGTTTTCTAAACATTGAAGCATACCATTATAATATCCAAAACATGATGTAGTAGGAGTTCTAAACAGCTCAGCAAAATATGTTCGACTGACAGTAATCATGTCATTTAAAGAGTTCTTCCAACAAATTCTAATTCTGCGTCAAGAATTCACTTTGATGAGCATGTCAATCGGAACGTTCTATGCTGAACCGTTTTAAGTTGCATATAGTAAAATTGAAGGGGATATTCCCCTAGTGACTTTCAGTGCTTCTGAATATTTAATAATTTATTCAAAGTATAATTAGTTAGTTGGGTTGTAGATGCACTTTCACTGTATTTGATTCTTCAGTAAGATGTCTTCAACTATCAACTATTCATTTTGATCAGTTCATGGATCGGTGTTTTTAATGAATATTAAAGCGCATACGTGCGTAATTATTGGTGTTCCGTACTGACTAGTCCATTAATAAATCATCTTTTTCAAGGAACGCCAGCATAAACAATTTCACACAAAATGGATTGATACAAACGTCTAATGAACGACCATTAGATTGTATGAAAACTAGTTACGACTATTGACTAACTATTTACACAGTGGTTTGATTAGTGATCCATTACAATCATGATCGCCATCTCGAAAATGATGTATCAGTTCACCGGATTGGATCATCAGATTATGATAACCCTCAGCCACATGTCTAAACATCAAGAAATCATGATAAATAAAATTGAAACCGCTTAAAACTATAAACATATATCATGTCCGCATACTTACAACCTTTATAAATGGTAATAAAATTCGTTAACCGTGTTCACAGATACATGACACAAAGTCCGTAAAAACCACAAAATATCAATTCGAACTTCAAATGGAATAGAAGTTGACATTGAAGTGTTACTTGATTTATGAATGATCAGGCACTTGAAAGTTTGTCGAAACCGAAAAATAAAACGAAAAATAGAGATATTGTGGACTTCGTTAAGTTTTTTCTTCGGTGAGATCAAAGACTTCGGTGAAGGTGAGACATGAATTAATTAGAATACTATGAACATTCATCCATCACTGTATTTTAGCTCGGAATAGGAAGCAAAGTAATTTTACACTTGTAATACGGATTTCAAATGAAACCCTCTAACTATTCAATACTGCCTGGAAAGTTTCATATGTTCGTCCCAAAATTAAGACAGGACCTGAAGAAATTTTAAACATTGCCGGCCCATAAAAATAACCTCGGTGGTATACAGAGAGATGAAAAAAGTAGTTGAGGCAGCAGTAGTTCAACATCCACTTACTAATAATCTCATCTCAACCTATCACCATGGGGTTCTTAGGTCCAGATCATACGATACATATCCAGTAGATAACCTGAGTGATATAACTCTAAAATGGAACAATGGATTCCTTGTATCAGTCCTATTCTTAGACTTTAAGAAAGCATTTGATAGGGTCCTACACACAAATCTCGTCAAAATAAATCCTTCGGAATCAATAACCCACTCTATTCATGGTTTGCTTCGTTCTTGACAGAACGTAAACAAATGGTAGGGGACAACAACTTTCTCGCATCATCTGGACCAACCCCTAGTGTGGTAAACCTGATAAGTGTATTATCTCCACTTTTGTTTCTTATGTGTATGAACAATATATGTAACACCATAAAATTTGAGAAACTGTAATTATACGCTGATGATCGCAAAATAGTATACGGTTTTAAGCCTGAAGCTCTAAGTGAAAGTGTATCGCAGATTGAAAGTGACCTCAATAACCTAACTATTTGGAGCGAAAATGGCAATTACAACTTACTCTTAACAAGTGTGAGATCGTGCGTTTTGGAAAAAATCCTTATGATTAACAAATTTACTTATATAAAACTAGAGTCCAAACACTCCAAACAGTGCACAATCTAGGTATTACTTACACAGGAAGCCTAAACTTTGATCAACCTGCTTCGTTTATTATATCTAAATACAAACGGCTAAGTGATTTTATAATTGGAGATTTCTTCCAAACAGAGGCTCTGCTTACCCTCCACAAAATATGTATGCGAACCTCCCTTGAATATCGCTCTTACATTCCATCGAACATGAATACCACAAAGAAGATAAGAGTAGAAGATATTCAAAGACGCTTCATACGCTGACTGTTAGGATGTGACTCCACTCTCAACTACACAGATAGATGTAAGCACCTCTCATTAGAACCTTCATGGTATCGTCGGCTAAGTAACATTCCAATGTTTATGTACAAAGTATTATATGGACTCACATTCCTAGCCTCCTGCCAACCCATGATCCATGACCCGGTCTACAGACTCAGAAACAGCGCATATACACTGTTTTACATTAAAACACTGGATACCAATGCGTTGTAAGTAATTTA